ATAGGAGTAGGAAATAAAATATCTATAGTGTATACTAAGTGGAAACTAGTGATGAGTGTGTATGTACCAAATCTATGGATTAATAGTTATGAATGAGAGCAAATTTATGGATAAATATTGATGAATATGCAAAAAATGGGTTGCTTCAATGTAGGTTAAATGGAAACAAGTCTGTACATACGTGCTTGAAAGAATAGTTTGTATAAATGTGTGAAAAATTGGTGACAGGCATGCTAATTGCAAACTGATGACAGATGTGTGTAGAGCAGATCACTGTGATTTAGATGTTTTAGGGCTTAAAAAAAAAAAAAAAAATAGTACTAAGTGTATAAAACAGATTGCTAGAATGTGTGTATATGTGTAATATATATATATATACCAAATGGCATGCAGTTAAAGACTTCATTCTATATGATATGTGTGTATGTGTAATATATATATTATACACCAAATGGCATGCAGTTAGACTTCATTCTATATAAATCTCAAGACTGGATGGACAAAGATACAACATCTCATACAACAGCTCTCATGTATGCATTTCATCTGTAATTGGCTCCTTGACTAGAGTTCAGCTTTAAGTGGCTGACAAGAAAATGGTAAATGCAGCCTATGGATTATATAACTATATTAATATTTTTGCATACAAGAAGCTGTTGCTCCCAACTATAGTTGAGGAAAAAACTGTAAACTAATACCTATGTATGTAACTTGCATTTTTTTTTTCCAGGACACAAACAGTTCCATCCACTACACGGCATATGTTGCAATTTCACTTCTCGAAACCAAATACAGCTTGGGGGTAAGAAACCATCCAATTCAAAACAAACACCTGAGGGGTCCATGCCCGAAAAGTATAATGGGTCTTGCTTGGGAAGTGGGGTGGGAACAAATAATGGTGGCAGACGAGAGGTATTGTGTCCACTTTCAACTTGTAGAAACATTATTTTTCATTGGCATGGTCCTCTTTTCCTTTTTTAATTTTTTTTATTTCACATTTATTTATTTTTTCACGTTTTTGCAAAAGTTGAGCAACTAAAACCTCTGTTTCAGATGCAAATGTAAAACCGTGTAAGCTTTTTTTTTTTTTTGCAGGCTAGCTGGTAAATGGAAATTTTTGTATGCTGTTCATTCCCTCTCCACAATTGCAGTTCAATACAAATGTTCACCTATTGTCAGTGTACCTGTCATGATAGAGAGTTGAGTCCCTAAAATGCCTTTATTGTTTTTTAATTTTGCGTTGTGTTGAATCCACTTATGAGATTTATCCAACCATTGTGGCACCCTCATCCTTCTATCACCCTGCAGGCTTTTCTGGGGATCCCCATTTGGATAGAGAGCTGCCTCTATAAAAAGTTTTAGATTTTGGGCCTCTTGTTCTAATCCACTCTGGAGTCCTAAATCTCCTACAATACAAATCTACCTTTTGGCCGCAGAAGGGACACGAGCCGCAATAAAAAGCTGACATGTTTGAAACCCTTCCTACTCTATCCAAAGCTAAAAGACGTCTCCCCATTAGATACACTTTAATTTGGTTGCTCTAGCCATCTTATGTCTATCGCGAATGGCCAGTCACATTCTGCACCGGTCCATTAATGGCTAAAAGCCTATTGTACACTATATGGTTTTCCATTTGTCTTCCAGAAAACGCTGCTGGAAGGAGCTATGGGGTGTCTGAAAAATGCATCAAAAACAAAGCAAAAAACTGGTGATGAAGTCCTCATGCTGTACGCCTTCACACTGGCTGGTCTCCCAGAATACAGAGATCCTCTGATGGCAAAACTCATGAAGAAAGCCATAGTTAAAGGTGAAGTTTTTGGCATTGAGAGCTTAATGGTTCTTCAGCATGTAAAAGCTTGGGATGAGCAGAGTGATTGTGGTGAATTTACACTCTCTTGCCTGCAATGAGTTGTGTGTATGGTTGTAGGTTATTTTTTCCCCTCCCCTGACCTAACAAACCCACCCTCCCCTTCAACAGATGCATACTTGGCAAGATCCAATGCCCGTGGCCTCCTGTGTTTGACATCCCGCACTGAAAATCCCCTTTCTCCTGGCCATGCCTGCGTATTAGAGCTCTATTGAGTCAGTATGCCATACATTGGTGGCATTTACCTTCTGCTATAAGCTAAAGCAACCATGAACTTATATTGGAACGGTTCTCCTGAAGGTCCCCTTTAAATATAATGGCTGTCATCAGCGGCTAATAAGTCGGTGATGACCGCTATTAACAAAAATTCGGTGCACCCCCGCACCGGCCACAGGCATCTTCTCCGTGTGTCTCTATGGATCCCTGCTGCTCTTCCCCCACTTGTATGGGCTGAGGCAGCGGGGATCCAAGTAGAAATGGCCGGCAGAGGAGGGAGCTGCTCTATCGCGATGATCAAGCAGCATGAGAGAGCAGCCAAGCGGGGAGGAGAGCTGCCGTTGTCGTCCTATCAGTTTTAGGATGACAGCGGCTGTGTGCGTGGTTGAGCAATGGATCTGTAAATGTGTGATATCTGGGATCATTTACCGAGCCTCTGTGCAGCACACACCTCATCTGATCGCTCCAGTGTTAGTACTATGTGTCCCCAGTTATTTACAATGTGTGCCCAGTATTTTCGTTTTGTGAAGGTAAAAAAATCAAAGCAATAATGTTAAAGAAAAATGGAAACCTTCAATTTAGCAATAAAATAAATCTTGCTGAAATCGCGTGTCACTAATTACTATTAAAGGGGAACTATGGGGTTAAGGCTTTTCCCCATAGTTCTCCTTAGGGTAACGGGAGGCCACAAACTAGCGTCCTCCCGTCACCCTAGGCT